GGTGACAGCCTTTGAGATTCCTTGCCTGAATGCATGTAAGCCCATTGGGGGTGATGGGAGGGGACTTACAACATACAGTATAAGTGCAGAGTAGGCGCAGGCTAGGTGGCAGCCTATGGGGTTACATATTTGCACGTATGTATCACGATTGGACAGTAAGGGAGGCGCCATTTGACTTGGCGAAAGAGTACAAAAATGTATGGTGTCGCCACCCCAATTGGCGAATAAGAGGTGTCCTTTGTTGAAGGCTAGGCTCAGGCTAGGTGACAACCTTTGGGATTCCTTGCATGTAACACTATTGGCAGCCTTGGGGGTTGCATCCTTACTTAATTGAAATTTTTAGTCTTGCGTTTATCATAACATTCATTCACTTAATCTGTCAAATCTTCCAACCTTCAAACGTTCTTACAATCAAACCTTCAAACTTTCAAACAATCAAACACATAAACTTTCGAATCACTCATAAAGTTCAAACATTCCAACCTTCAAACCTTATAGCATTCAAACCTTCATACAATTAATAAACCTCAAACATTCCAACCTTCGAATCACTCATAAAATTCAAACATTCCAACCTTCAAACCTTAAAACAATTCTACGCAATGGCCTCTGCACCACAATTTGTCGTCAAAGCACATTTCAACGGTGAGACATACATTTGTCCCACCACTGGGTTTTTGTTTAGAGACACAAACAACATCCGATTTCTCTTAAACGGGAAAGCCAATTTCTCGTACTTCAAAAAAAGATTGGAGGCCAAACTTGAACGAGGCCCGGTGTCCCAGATATTTTATCAGAATCCAGTTTTCTTTGGAAACAACCAAGTAATTTTTTATAAGGTTGAAGTTCAAGATGACGAGGATCTCCAGAATATGTTTTCCAGCCATGTCTATTCTGGGTACGACTCTATTGAGTTGTACGTTATGCTGCGAGAGCCTCAGGTGACACAAGAGGTTTATCCTTTGGAGAATGAACAAGCTGAGGTAGATGCAGTTGATGATGAAGAAGAAGATAACGAGTTAGAGTTTGATGAAATGGTGAATGATGATTCCGACGATGATGGTATCCTTAGTATTCCTGCAAACAAAATCTACACACCACCTCCGCACATGACAAACTTCAACATGGGCGGAGATGAACCTTCTACTGACTTATTTTTTAATCCGTATATGCAGTCGGATGAAAATTTAAAAGAGAAGGACAAGTTTCGTAACAGAGAGGAATGCATCAGGGCCATTAAAAAATTCCACATGCTTAACTCGGTTGATTTTAAGGTGGATCGTGTCAACCTAGAAAGGTACAAGATCAAGTGTGTCCATCCTGACTGTATGTTCAAGCTGACTGCATCATACAGATTAAGGGGTGACTGCTTGGTCATAGGTTCCATGACTACCCACACTTGTGTAAGTTCCACTCAATCACAGGACCACCGAAAACTAAACTATGATCTCACCTGTCAAGAAATCCTACCCCTGGTCAGCAACGACCCATCTTTGAAGGTGAAAACAATCATCTCCCACATCACCACAGTTTTTAACTACACTTCGTCTTACCGTAAGGCGTGGTTAGCAAAGACTAAGGCGATTGAAACGGTGTACGGAAAATGGGAGGAGTCATACCAAGAACTTCCCCGCTACCTGAATGCACTCAAGACATATTCTCCAAGTAGTGTTTACGTTCTGGAAACAGTGCCAGCATACGCCTAAGATGGTAGTCTACTAAATGGCAACAAAATATTCAGTCGCGTGTTTTTGGCATTTCAACCATGCATCACAGGGTTTGCATCATGCAAACCAATTATACAAATTGATGGGACTTGGTTGTATGGGAAGTACAAAGGCACGCTACTGATGGCAGTTGCACAAGATGGCAACAACAACATTTTCCCCATTGCCTTTGCCCTTGTCGAGGGGGAGACCGGTGGTGCTTGGAGCTTTTTCCTGAAAAATCTACGGACACACGTGACTCCTCAGCCAGATCTCTGTTTGATCTCGGACAGACATGTCTCCATTGAAAGTGCCTACAATAATCCAGCAAATGGTTGGCATGACCCTCCTTCTACGCATGTCTATTGCGTTAGGCATATCGTCCAGAATTTCTCGAGGGAGATCAAGGATAAAACATTGAGGAAAGCGGTTATGAATGCCGGATATGCATTGACACAACCCACATTCAAATATTACCGCAACGAGATCCGTTTGTCAAATCCGGAAGCCGGTAGGTGGATCGATAATATTCCGGTGGAAAAATGGACTAGGTCATACGATAATGGCCAAAGATGGGGGCATATGACAACGAATCTTATTGAATCAATGAATGGGGTATTCAAAGGCATACGAAACCTCCCAATCACTGCCTTGGTAAAATCTACGTATTTTAGGATGGCTGCGTTATTTTCCAAAAGAGGTGAAATGTGGAATACGGTGTTGCAATCTGGACAACTATGGAGTGAAAGCTGCATGAAATACATTAAGGCTGAAAGTGCTAAAGCCAACACTCATATGGTTATACGGTTTGACCGACACAACCACATCTTCATTGTGAAAGAGACAATCGACCACAATGAAGGCCTGCCAAGACAAGAATATAGGGTCATGCTACCTTCTCAATGGTGCGATTGTGGAAGGTTTCAAGCATTTCGTATGCCTTGCTCTCATGTCATTGCCGCTTGTGCTCATACCCATCAATACGCGCTGCAACTTCTGTCAAACATTTACAAATCTGAAACGTTGCTCAACGTTTACAACAACAACTTTCCTTTGGTAGCAAAACTAGATTATTGGCCTGCATACGACGGCGAAATAGTGTGACACAATGACCAAATGCGAAGGAACAAGAAGGGTCGTCCCAAAAGTAAGCGCGTCACAACAGAAATGGACGATCTTGACAGGTTGGAAAGAAAGTGTGGTTTATGCCGTCAGGTCGGACACAATCGCAAAAACTGTCCGAATCGGGCGTCTGGCTCGACCACATAAATATTGTAATACATAAAATCTTTTCTTAATTATGTTGTAAACATTTGGGTTTTCCGTTAACAGATTTTGCTACAATTAATAAAACGCGTACAAGAATAATTAACGATATTCCATCTACGAAATTACAAATGTTAACACAATTTCATCTGACCCATGCATCATCAACATTACATCGCTATCTGTTTTGACTTCCTCCAACCACACATTAGGTCTTCCTGTCGCATGTGAGGTTGTTGTTCGTTTTCGCTGGATCCTTCGAATTTTTCCCCCCTCCGCAATGTCTCCATCTAGCCATCGCATCAACTCCCGCTTCAGACGCTCCATGGAGTGAATGTGCCAGAATTTCATTTTCATCGCAGGTTTCGTGGCGGAGAAGATAACGTAACCTTCTCTGCTAAAAATCATAGGCGACGTCATGACGCAAATAAAAGAGTACAAAATAAAAATACAGTGCGAGAAAGTGTGAGAAATTTCAGAGAAACGGACGAATTATTTATAAAACAACATTTTGCCCTAGTTTTGTCCTAAGAGCCAAGTGAGGTGGCGCCTCCTCTCACTTTTAAGGAGCATGCGCCATCTCACTTGGCTAAAAGCCAAGGGAGGCGCCAAGTGAGATGGCGCCTAGGGCGAATTGGTAGGTGCATGCGCCATTTCAGATGACTCCTCCTTTGGGGAGTCATCTGAAACATGGTTATTTGCGTAATTTTTTCTGAAATCCGATTATTTGCGAAATATTATTTTAATACTTGGTTATTAATAAAAAAAAATCTGAATATTTGACCAATTATTTTTGTTTATCAGTTTTAGTTATTTAAATAATGGAGAATATTTTGATACCTTTATATTTAGTTGAGTATTGGTACCTTCAACCAATCAAACACTATAATTCAATGTCATGTCACTTTTTTATAAAAATATACATTGTGACACTAACATATATTTATATGTATAATATCAAACTCAATAATATTGAAAGTCATAGGATTTATTGAAAAAACTAAATTTCATCTATCATCAAGGCGGTACTCACCAAATACATAGTGATAGATACATTAAAACGTATTGAGAAAAATCCAAATTTTATATAAAACAAAGATATAATTTAAAAATTATTTATAAAATAACACTTTTTATTTTATAAATTGGTTTTCATATATATATATATATATATATATATATATATATATATATATATATATATATATATATATATATATATATATATATATATATATATATATATATATATATATATATATATATATATATATATATATATATATATATATATATATATATATATATATATATATATATATATATATGTTAAATTCAATATACAAATTAAATATTTATACTTTTAAAATGGGTATTGTAAAAATGTATTAGATCCAACATAAGAATTTAATATACTTTTTTAATTAATATTAAAAGATGAGTTAGATCTAATATATAAAATTATTTATTTTTCAAACTAAATAAAATGAAGATATGCACTTGGCTATTGATCACTCTAATAATTACAAATATGCTTGAAAAAATCTAAAGTGGGGTTAGTAGATTCTCTTAATTAATTTCTTGGATGACTCAATTTGAAGATAGATTTACCTAAATCTAAATGATTTTAAAATAAAAGTTTTATAATAGTAGTAAGACTGACTGTTTTCTTTTTGAATATCTTTCGATTAAATATTATCTTCTCTCTATTTCTTTTAAGAAACACAATTCCATTAATTCAACATTGTTACAATATCTTTAATTAAACCCAAATATATTATATATATATATATATATATATATATATATATATATATATATATATATATATATATATATATATATATATATATATATATATATATATATATATATATATATATATATATATATATATATATATATATATATATATATATATATATATATATATATATATATATATATATATATATATATATATATATATATATATATATATATATATATATATATATATATATATATATATATATATATATATATCACTTAAACATAATAATATATCTTAAGAAATACAATCGCAACTTTAAAAACACTTGTAAAAATATTGCCAGCCACATGTTCCACCCCATCACACTTAGGAGCCACATCAATAACATGAGCAAGATCAAAATTGATACCTTGAATCTCAGAAAAAACCTTAACAAGGATGTTCAAGGTGGTACCATTCCCACCATCAACATCCACCATGGATTTAACACCATCAAACAACTCACTACAACCTTCAATAATAGCAGGCACAACAACTCTAGCATCACAAGACATAGCATCATTGATAAGATCACTATGATCAAGATTTGAAGCATTATAGCGCCAAACATCTTCACCATAAACCTTCTTAAAAGAAGAGTTTCTATTTACCACAACACGATCACTTAGACTGAGCCAAGGAACTACCATAACAAGACTGCTTTCTAGTAAAAGAAACGCAGTCATGCTATGTTTACCGTTTTGAATGAAACGACGAGAAAGTGCTGTTTGAACATTGTCATACTCCAAATCTGCCCTACCCTAATCTAGGGTTTCTTTAAATAAATCATATTAGTTAATTCTCACTTTTATGGAAGTGTTTAAAGTCAAAGGGGGTGTATTGATATAAAATGGACCATTAATATCTGATGGCCCATTAAGCTAAAGTCCGTTCCAATTTAAAGGAGGTTTATTATTTTAAGGGAGGTGTGCACAAATCTTTTTTAATAAGGCCCGTGTAGTTTTTTAATAGGATTGGAAGATTGCGAATAGCGATATGTTTTTTTTTGTTTAAGGCCCAATGGATCAAAATGGTGTGGCCCATTTGATTTTTTTGTTTAAAAAGTTTGTTTTTTTAATTATTATAATATTATTATTATCTCATAATTATTAACTATTATTACTGATTATTTTTTCATACTAATGTTGATTATAACTATATGTTATATTAAGAGCTTAATTAAAAGTTGATTTATAAGTTTTGTTATTCAAAAGGAAAATTCTTTTTTACGGTTGCACAATCCAAATTCATGCTACGTGGCCCAATTAAAACAAGCAGTCCAAGCCCAATATATAAAAGAAGCACACCGCAGTATTTCACAACAGTCACTATTCAATTTCGAAGCTTGCAAAAACGCGAAACAGCTCTTCAGAAACTAAGTCAAAAAAATTTAATACAGAAACTTTATTAAACAGAAATGAATCAGTATCAACTCAAAACAAAATCAAGAACACAGACAGAATAAGGCTAAATCCATAAATTTTATTAACAACAATCAAAATGCAATTACAATGGTTGAACCAATTCACAAACAATTATAATAAATTCCTAAAATACACAAGCCCTAATCAATTCCAAAAATTAAATTACAGACATATTTAAATCTTTCCTAAAACTACAATCCTAATAAAACACTATAAAACCTAGAAAGCAAACTACAGGAAAAGGGGAAGAAACTTACAGTCCGCGGAAAAAAGAAGCTTTACAGTAAAGAGAAAAGAAAAAATAGAAATAGAAGGTTGACAGAAGGGAGGCCCTTATTGTCCTCTCTCTCTCTCCACTATCGCTTTCTTCATCCGCCTCGCGTTGCTGTCCGATCCATATCATACATCGGTGCTTCGATATAGGGTTTCGGTATCTGAAACCCTCGAAACAACATCCATCATGCCATCGCATCTCCACCATCACCACTAGCACTGTCGAACCTGAAACACGAAGAGAAAGGATTAGAGATCGACGAAATCAAGGGAGGGCAAACATATTCATAAAAAGGGTATAGAAAAAGAAAACCTAGCTTTGGTTTCTACTATAATCATTTGTGTCTATTGTAGTATAGGGATTAAGGTTTTAGAAGGAGAGAGATGAGAGGCGGAGGGGAAGAGAGGAAGTAGCTCTGCCGGGGTGGTTCTGTTTGGGGTTAAGGTTTGTGTTGTAAAGGGGTGAGAGAGAGAGAGAGAGAGGAGTGGATGAGTAGAAAGAGAAAGATAAACATTATGAAACAAAAAATGAACAAATTTAGAAATTATAATTTCATTATAATCCAACATACGCGTGCCCCATGCTTCATACCATACTCCCTCGTCAATCACCATACGATCTCAATCTAACGCCCTCGCATGCATGCCTACGACCTTAACGGTACACCTCCTCACACCTGATCCGAACAGATCAAAGGTGTGTTTACCGGGCCAAGCCCAACTACTGACCGTACCTTTTCCTTTTTTATTTTTTCCAAATACATTCAGTTTCGCACCCCCCCCCCTTTGGTTATTGGGCCTGAATTCAAAAAACTAAATTCAGGCCCTTTATATTGACACCTCCATTTTTGCTGCTTCAATTATATCTGCAACACCCCCCCCCCCCCCCCCCCACGCCTTAATTTAAATTTTATTTTATTATCTTATTATAGCTATTTATTTTTATACTTTATATTTATATTATATTTATATGTATTATTATAAATCAAGTTATTTATTTTTAAAACTCGTTTAAAATACAATATTATTTATTTGTATTAAAATCTTTTAATAATGCACTTATATTTTTTTTATAATATAAGTTAATTTAATATTTTACATCATAAATATTAAGACCCGTGCGATTTACCGAATTACTACATCCACAAGCGACACGTGGCCAATATCTGGCCACGTGATGAGGAGGCTATATCAGACTCATTTGCTCTACGTATAAAAAATACTCCAAACATCCAAATTATTTTTGGTAATAAATTAATCTAACATTAGTTTTCGAAAAAGGAATACAAATATATTTGAGTCAACTGTGTACTTGGTCTAACAAACTCCACTATTCACACTCTTAGACTACGTATGCAGGAGATTCAAATACATTTCTACAATCCATAAAAAACACAAACAAAACCGCAAACTATGAAATTGGACTATGATTCCTCATAGAAGGATACGTAGGCATATGATTAAAATCATGGCGAATCTCCCTAACTAAAATTCAAAACCTTTTTCCCCTATAATAATTAAAAACCCTGTTTCCTAAGAACGCACTTTTAAACCCAGTATCCTTGTGAACAAGGTAGATAAGAGATGCCTAACCCCTTCCCTTGTCTAGAACCGATTCCAAATCTAGAATCTCTGACTTTTAAGGTTATTCCTTTATACTCCCTTCTTTTCGGATAAAAATTAAGGGTGGAGACTCTCAAATTTCAAACGAGTTTCAACAAACATAACTAAGATAGTTGTCATGGTTGGTAGAAATGGTTTTGAATATTTTCCTATGTACTAGGAATCTCATGATGCGGTTAAGATATGAAGGGTCACATTTTACAGATGATGATAACTCTAATAGTGATATGGGTTTCTTGTGCTTTTGAATTGCATCAGTTATGCCAAGTTGAATTGCACATTTCACTACAGATAGTTCTGCAAAACCAAATATGTATTTCCAAATTTCAACTTGAGCTTATGCTTCTTCTTTTTCTTCCTCCCATGTTACCTCACTCTGATTTTCTCCCATTCTTAGCTAAATCTAATTGTTATGGCGGGTGGTGATCATTTTGGTTGAAACTAGGAAGCTTTATATACATAAGTTAGTAACATATCATGGATCACCTTTAGAACGTGAACTTGTTTTTTCTTTTGGTTTAAATATAATTTTGAATTTTTGTTTTAGACAATTTTCTATATTCTTTCCTTTTAGAACGTGGACTTGTTTTTTTTTTGGCTAAAATTTTGATTTGTATATTTAAATTCATGATTTTGATTCTCATTTTTAAAAAGTATGGCTTTTTTTCTTTTTATTTATGCATTTGTGAATAAATTTTGAATATATCACAAGTGAAATATAATGAATTCGAAAATTATCTTATGTTAGAGAAATGAATTAACTATAATTGTCATCATTAAACACCATTAAGTTTCTTGGGGTGTTAATTTAATTGAATAGTTTGTTAGCGGTTATATTTTGACAACTTCTGTTAACTCTCAACTAGTGCTAGATATAAAAGCTATTATACTGTTGTATTGAATGATTATGATGAATAACACAGTTTACACTTTCTCTCTCATACTCTGTATCTCTGTAAATTGTAAAAATCTTTGAGTGATGACTTTCACTCTTCACTTTCAATATGTTATCATTCGCGTGTTCCGATCATCTGCACTTTCGTGATTCATCATCTTCGATTCAAAACCTTTCCCTTTTGTATGTGCAACTAATCATCCCAAATCAGTGTTTTTAAGGTCCTACAATGGATTCTGCAGGAAATCAATAATCAGTAATCAAAGATCAAGCTCAAACTCATGAAGTTTCCATAGTATTTGTGTCAACCAAATCCAACAATGAGTTCGAACTGAAACTTTCAATCAAGTTGTAAGAGAACAATTATCTTCTCTAGAATCAACAAGTCGAAGGAGTGATTCTAACTCAAAAAGATGCATAAACTTGTTGTCAATCCATAGATTCGGAAGAAGTATAAAACCGGTCAAGATCAAATCACAGGTATGTTTTCTGATGAATATAATGCTTAGATTTTTCAATATCAAGCAGTGTTCATATGGCTATTATCTATAATTTCGGAGTCGGTACTTCTTAGGGTTCTTGCGTGCAAACATGCTTTCGAATTTTGAGATAAAATTAATCAATACTTCAATGCCTAAATGAAATCTAGGGTTGGACAATTAAGGGGTGAACTCAAATCTACAAATAAAGGGAACAAATCCATCACCAAAATTGTGTTACGAATTAAAGCCATTGCAAATTCGCTGCTAACTGTTGGTGATTTCATCACTGAGCAAGACCAAATTGATTCAATACTCAATGGGATTCCAAAATAATATAGTCCCTTTGTAATGCAGATGTATGGTTGTTCCATTCCACCTACACTCAATGATGTCGAAGCATTGCTCTATGTGCAAGAAGCATAATTTGACAAATTTCGTCAAGAATTGGCTGCAATAGTGTCTGCCAATATTGCTCACACAAGCCAACAAGAAGATAGTTCTAGAGGAACCTACTCAGAAAGTCTTGGAAGAGGTCACAGGTACAGTCGAGGTCATGGTCGTGGTAGACGAAGAACCACACTTGGAAATCATCCAACTTGTCAATTGTGTAGCAAGTATGGTCACTCTGTTTCAACTTGTTGGCATAGGTTTGATGAGAATTTCATGCCTCAGAACTCAACAAATGATCAATTTGGACCAGCCAACAGTTCCACACACAATCAAGAAGCTACTTAAGATATTGCACAGGATTCTAAAGTTATTGTTATGATGGTAACCACAAGTCGACCATCAGCATATACACAAGAATATTCACTCCCCTCGGAGCTGGAGTTCCAAGCTTGGTTCGTCGATTCAGGTGCTTCTCACCACTTAACCCCTTATGCCTTTCACTTACAAAACAAAAAAGTCATATGTTGGTCCAAATAGAGCGTGTGTAGGAAATGGTCAAACTCTTACTATATAATCCATAGGTTCCTCACAATTTTACT